AAAGGTGCCACGTTGGCAGTTAATAGCAGTAACTAAACAATAACAGCAACTGCTTTCCACCCCCCACCCCCCATCTCGATGTAACTGGCAAGGGCTATAAATACATGCTGTGTCTGTTTGCATGGATAAACTGTTCTTCATCTCACCTTCCATAGTCCTTTCTTGACCTGAGTTGACAAGAATGTCATAATAATAATTTCCATATAATGAGTGTCCAGAAGGTGCCAGACACTGGGCTGTGTTCTTACTATGTATTTTCTGTAATTCTGATGTTTCCATATGGTTGTTGGCATTCCCTACTTTCCAGAGTAGGAATTCGAGGATCAGAAAGGTTAGGAGCTATGCCCAAGGTCACACAGCTAATAAATGGATGAGGCTAGGATTCTAACTGGAGTCCCACTGACTCCAACGCTGTTCTGCTGTGTTCCTTGACATATTTATTGTCCTCTCATTTCCATTGTCTAATTTGAAGTCAGACCTCTGTTTATGTGTATCTTGAACAATTCCAGCTATTTGATGGATCATGAAAATTAATCTTGCAGATAAGATACTTTTGTTGTAAGTCATCATTATTTCATCTACTAGAATGTCCGCTCCATGAGGATAGGAAATTTGGTGGGGGTTTTTTTTCATTCTTGTAAGTACCTAGAACATAGTCCTTATTTTATTTTAAATATTTAGTGAGTACCTACTATAGGCTGCGGACACTGCTACACTCTGGAGGTGAAAACCACCCTGAGCCTGCCTTCATCTTGCCTTTGGAGCGACAAGGGAGGGGAGCGAAGGACAAGGACTTAGTATTCAGAGAAGTGGTCCCCGCGAGGGTAGAAAGCTCAGGCCTCAACCCTGGGAACCCTGGGAAATATTTTCATACACACAGCAGGCCCGCAAATTAGTGACATGGGAAACCACTGGGCCAAGAACAAGGAGGAATTAATGCATGATAGTTACATAAACAGGAGTATAAACCCATATATTATTATTAGTCTAGCACAAAATGAACTCTTTTAGGAAATTTATGTTATGCACCTGTGTTGGATTTCGATTCACATCACAGTACTTTCTGGTTAGTCAGAAACGGTAACTTTCCAGCGGTAGCACTTGAGCATTTATCTTAGTAACTTTGCAATAGTTGTCTCTGAGGTGACCAATTTCTTTTCCTTGAACTTTATGAAATTGCTTTTGCTAGCAAAGCCATAGCCCAATGAGGTTGAATACCTTTCCACAAATTTAAAAACCCTTTTTCCAAAAATTTTTTTGAAAAATTTCAAAAATACAGAAAAGTTGAAAAAATGGCATGGTGAGTGCCTGCATAGCCATTTACCTATAACAGGGCTGGTGGAATACAGCCTGGGGGCCCAATCTACTCAGTGCCTGCTTTTGTAAATAAAGCGTGTGGGAATACAGACACTTCTATTTATTTATATATTGTTTGGCTACAAAACAGAGTTGAGTCATTTTGACAAAGACCACCATAGGCCCAGAAAGCCATATTAATTTCTGCCCCTTTACAGAAAAAGTTTACCAAGCCCTGGTCTAGATTCACCAATCGTTGACATTTTGCCATGTTTGCTGTATCTC